TCATGACCTGATATCGGTTTTTGTTGACTCTATGTCACAGCGTTCCCGGTTTAGTCTGATCCATCACTTCCTTGTCAGAAACACAAAGCTGCGTTTTGCCGCCTCTTCTTTAATCCTCTAAGAAAACACTCATGTTGTTTTTGATCACATGCGTTCCTTCAGTCTCCACATTTCTTGAGTAACATACGGGTCGTAACATCTCCAGCTCAGCAGCGTTGCTGAAGCCTCACAGAAGCACGTAATCTCTCACATCCGTCCCGCAGTTACCTGCTGTCTGAATCTGAGAACTTGTTGATATTTTTAGACCCGACCACAGCTGGAGAGCCGCGATAAAGCGCAGAAACCCAAGATGGCACAGGTCCAGTCTCAACACAAACAGCTCAGACAGCTGCTACATGCACAGACACTTATCTTTGCTGCCATTTACACACACACACACACACACACACACACACACACACACACACACACACACACACACACAGTGTTATTTTTGGCTGATAATGTAATCATAATTTTAAGAAAAACCTGTGTTCATCGAGAAATAAAACCTCTAAAACAAAGTTCTGACTCATGCCGCTGGTCGTTTTTTCATTCTTTTTATCATTATTTGCAAAATAAGAGCAAATATTTGTCTAATTTCTGGAGCTGCTGCCTCCTGGGGGGATGGTCTGCAGCGGTCAGGACTAAAACTTGGACAGAACACCCGTACATGGAACATCCACACACACCTAAACGTCTCCAAATATGAATGTTTTTGTCCACACAGAGACATCTCAGCCGGATACCTGTAACCAGCACCTGTGCCTTCATGCAACAATACCAAGGGACCACCCCACAGAAACAACACGAAAGTGACAAAAAAAAGTTGCAGTTCCACTCTCATCCACTAGGGGGCTGGCACCAGAAGTGAGCAAATCCTCATAGACTCCCATGTTAAAAATGCTAACTTCACAGCAGAAATGAACGTGTTTACAGCCTGGTTCAAAAGGACATTTTAGATTTAATAGATCTAGTTTACATTCATGAAAACTCTGAAGGGGGGTGAATTATTGTGACTCTTCTGTTTAAGTGGAATTTAAAGAGCAAGTCACCCCCAAATCAACTTTTTTTGGCTGATAATCTATATAAATGTGTGTCTAATCGTGCTGCAGACACATGTGGTCAATAATTTGGCACTTCAATGCATCTTAGTTCAAATTTAAATATTTTGCCTAAAACTGTCAGTGTTGCGCCATCGTCAGGTAAAAACTCTGCACTGCATTGGAATTTAAATCTGCCACCGCTATTGGCTAAGAGGTATGCTATGATGTAAACTGGTATATTATGATGTCACAATGCCGTTGTGAGGCTGTGTGTGTGTGTGTGTGTGTATTTGTTAGTGGCTCCGCCCTCTCGGTCTGCTAGGCAACAGCATTTGTTGCATTTTTCAAACATGAAGAGAGAGTGAAGTAAGTTTCTTGTAGGGGTGACTTGCTCTTTAATGATTAGCAGAGGCTTTGGGGCTTTGCTGCTCCACTGCGGTCAAAGATTTGTGAGGTTGCTGCTGCAGAGAGGTTTGCCAAGCTTCAGTAACTTCCCTTTAACAGCGGTAATTGTGTGATGAGAGATCCGCGAATTTGCTGATTTATCCTTGCAGAGGAAGCCCAGCGAGGCGGGCGCCTGGCTTATCCTTCTCTCGGCCGGGAACAACTGCTACGCGCAGGTGGCACGATCTCGTCTCCCAAAGGGGCTGCGACCCGCCACGCGGCCGCCTGGTTTCCATGCCAGGCTGTCATCGTGCTGCTTGCCTGTGGAGCTCTCTGAAGGCGATTACAAACACACCACTGCACTTTGAGTTGATTTTGGAGTGACTTTACCAATTCCTGCAAAATGCTACAAAAATATAGCCGAGTGAACCAGACCAAAATCTTGCTTTGCAAAGTTTGGTCTAGGAGCGCTCCACTGGAACCTCTGCAGCTCCTAACAGCATTCTGGCTGGCCCATCACAGCTCTCTAGAGGGGTTTCAAATGCATAAAGAGCTGTGATTGGTCCATAATGGTGGGCCAATCATAGTGCGCTATCTGCTTAGTGAACAAATCACAGGGCTTTATCCGCTTTGTGGGCCAATCAGGGCACTCTATATGCCTGGTGGGTGGGATGATGCAACAGAGTGAAACAAGATGGCGACAGCTCGTTTGAAACAGCTTTTACATCAGTGTTGGACGATTAGAACTTGGGCTTCATCAGAATCAGGAGCAGATAGATGTATTTAAGTGCTTTTTTTTTTTTTTTTTTTAGAAAAAATGATGTGTTTTCTCCTTCTTCAACTGTGGACTGCCTCATTTACCGATGGCTGTTGCGGTGAGTATGTCACATTCATTGTCCAGTAGCATGCGGAGATCATATGAAAGACGACGGTAGAACCCGCCCCACAACCGAGAGCCGTCACTGGAGCGTTGCCAGACTAAATAATACATTTATTTAGTCTGGCTTGCCAGGCTAACAAAAATACTTTCTGTCATAGATTTCATATTGTTGGAATTAGATTGGTCCAGAATAGTTCTGCTAAGCAGGTAAAACTCAAAGGTGTTTTCCACTGAAAAAACATGTTTAATGATTATTTCTGATTCTAACGGGTCACGCTGAGTTTTTCATGCAGGCTGAACATGAAAATAGTCTCCTACACCTACCTACTGCATTAGCTTCTGATAGAAAACAGACGGTGAAACTCTAGGATTAGAAAAGCCTGACAGATCTCTGTCACACTGCCACTTAACATTCATGGACTCACCCATCTGGACTCACGACGGGGAAGGCTGTTGTTGGCTTAGCGTCCAGGAAACATCGGAGAACGTGTCAGCTAGTTAAAGCTAACTGTTAGCATTAGCAGCTCCACCACCCAGCAGAACTCCTCCAGACTTGTGGTTATTTGTGGAGATAAAGCATCAACGTTGCAGAGCACACTGAGTCAATGGTAGAGTCGCATTACTGTTAGCCAATCAGAGGTGAGAGATCCTAATATCAGGAAATAAGACTCCAGATCCTGTCATCTGACGTTCTCCTCTGATCTGGCTATCTTCTGGATCCCAAAGCAGCCATACCTGGGCTTTTTGTACAGCTTACAAGGGCATTTATTCCTACTAGAGACCACTGTAAATGTATTTAATAAAAAAAGTAAAGCACACCTTTAAAAACTGTGCCTCAGAGCTATGAAGAATGACTAAAATGTCCCATGATGCACTGCGACATTCTCCTGCTGGTATACATTCTTGTTATGAGTTTATTGGAAAATTCAGGCATTGATATTTTCCACAAAAGTCATGAAAATTGCGCTAATGGCTCATTTTTTTATTTCTTTTCCACTGTAAGGAACCTCAGTAACATGTGGAAGATTCATACGCAGCTCCTCCTCGTGCCAACCCCAACCCTAAGCTAAGCTGCCAATCAGGAGCCAGTCATACGCCTGCGACTGGGACGCATCCTTAACTGATGCGTAACTGACACCAAATGCTGTCCATTACAGTAAAGTTCAGGCTGAACATCCAAAAGCAATGCAAGTGTCGGTCATGTATCACTAACACAACGTGAGTTTTATGCTAGTGAGCTCCAAAGAGAACTTGAGTAAACGTCTGCCGGTGCTGTCAGAGTTGGCCTCACCACAGCGAGCCCTAAAGAAAACAGCTTGTCCTCAAATGAAAGACGAACAAGGAGGCTGCCACTCATTCAGAAAAAACAACACCTCCTTCATCTGAGGCTGCTGGGAGTGTCTCCGCCGGGATCTTTCTGCAACCGCCGTGGAGCCTGCAGACACTGATTTTGTTCTGTTGCACTAAATCAAACACACACTGCGTCAACATCGCCCACGTTAAACCCCAGCACAAGCCCCGCCGAAGCCACTTTCACCTCGCGTGGAGCAGAGCGCAGCTTCAAACCATTCATTACTGGAAAGCAAAGCCATGAGTCACGCTGTGGGAACTGGAAATGCACAGCAGCAGAACACTAGCACACTTGCATTTGTGCAGGAGAAACTGAGGCGTACACTGAGGCGTACACCACACCCCTGCAGGAACATCCTTTGTGTTTTTGGCATCTCTGATCTTTGGTGCAGAAGTACGATGCGTGAACTCACATGCACAGCTGGTCCAGGGTGTTTGTTTTAGCACCTAAACTCTCACAGCTCTTACGAAACAAGTCAGCAGCTGTGAGGCTAAACGCCGACTTGCCGAACTGCAGTATTAAACATTATGATGTCATTCCCGTTCTCGGTAATGTTCCACACGAGGACTAATTGTTCTGTTTTGGTAGGCGGTGGATGTGTTACACAACAGGTAGAGATACTGTGTCACGACACAAGCCAGCACAGTCAGGGTGAATCATGTGGGAAGTAGTTATGCATGACACACATACCAACACAGACCGGCTGCATCTTTTTATGATGGTTAAGATTTTTTCCACGCTGCAGCTAGAAGTCTTGACCTAAATATGTCTAATATTGAAACCAGAGTATAATATTACTATTTTCTATTCTGATGTCTGCCCTTGTACAAAGACAAGCATGCACAATCAGAGTTTCAGCTGGAGGATTTTAGAAATGTTTCTCCGCGTACACTTGACATATTTAGTAGAATGGTTGTGGGGTCTGAAGGGGACAGATGGTGTCCCCTCAGAGTCCAGAGAGTCCACAGTCCAGCTCCCTTTGGGTTTCGCATCACAGCTCCAAACAGGAAGTGAAGACTGGTTTTATCTCCTCATGTCTGCTCCATCAAACCCAGCAGAAACACTAACAATCCCTAGTGGCACCATCAAAGATGAATCTGACACAGACGAATCCCTGGTGGTAACCATGGTGACCCTGATGAACCATTCGCTGCAGTTATAACATTTCTGATTGTCTTTGTTCTCTTTAGTCTTCTCATCCATTTTATCATCACTTTTGGATGTTTTGTCTTATTTTAGATCATTTCAGTGTTTACTTAGCAGTAAATCTTTATTTTGTAGTTTGCACAATGACAAGACGTCTTAGACAACTTTATTTCAGCAAATTAAAGTCCATCCTCACGTTTTTCCCAATCAGTTTTGTCTGTGACGGAATGAATTTGGAGATTTTGTGGTGGTTTGTTTGACATATTTGCCATTGTCCTCATTTATCTGAGCATCAGCAGCAGAGACGACGTCCACATTTCTGCAGACGTCAGGTCGGCCATGACGGCCCACTGAGGGCCTTTTTATGTCGCTGCTCTACGGCGTGCACAATCTGAATAACCTGCCGAACCACTCTGATGCAGCACAGGTGTGTGTAACACAAGCACTCAGCATGAAACTGAGATGGAACATCAAAGCAGCTTCACGCGTAAACACCGCTTTATGATTTCATTTTAGGAAGTTTCTTTTTACTATTTGGATCAACAACAATCACGATTGTTGGTTTGTGAGTTGGGAGCTGGCCGGAGATCAAATAAAATCCTTTCCTCCTGAAAGGTTTGGTCATGATCTGTTAGCCAGTATATTTGTAATCTCATTACATTCAAAACGCAAATTCAGACTTCAGAAATCTTTGCCACATGTGACATGACATCATTGTCATTGCATATTGTTATCCATTAGTTTGTGGAGAGCTGCAGAACGAGCAGGAAGCCAAAGCGGGTTTAGTCCTGTTGAGACAGGTGAGCTACCCCACTGTGCATTTACCTAGTCTGGACGTCCTACAGAGGTGGTCTGGACAAACGGACTCAATATAGACATGTAACGTCCAGAAAGGGTCAATTTTCACCTACACATTGCAGCTAGAAGTCTTGACCTAAATATGTCTAATATTGAAACCAGAGTATAATATTGCTATTTTCTGTTCTGATGTCAAAAACAAGCATGCACAATCAGAGTTTCAGCTGGAGGATTTTAGAAATGTTTCTCCGCGTGCCATCACTCATTCATCTGTCTAAAACGTTTTTATATCTTGAACATAAACCCTTCAGACCCCACAACCATTCTACTAAATATGTCAAGTGTACATGTGAGTCTTCCTCCACCTGCTGTGTATCTCGCTGCTGTAGGACAGATGGTGTCCCCTCAGGTCCCCTCAGAGCCCAGAGAGTCCACAGTCCAGCTCCCTTTGGGTTTCGCATCACATGTCACCCGTCGAGCATGTTTGGGATGTGCTTGACCGGCGTATACGACAGCGTGTACCAGTTCCCACTAATATTCAACAACTTCGCACAGCCATTGAAGAGGAGTGGATCAACATTCCCGGGGCCACAATTGACAATCTGATCAACTCTATGCGGAGAAGATGTGTTGCACTGCATGACGCAAATGGTGGTCACACCAGATACTGACCGGTTCTGAGTCTCCAGACCCCCAATAAAGCAAAAAAACTGCACATTCCAGGGTGGCCTTTTATTGTGGGCAGTATAAGGCACCTGTGCACTACTCATGGTGTCAGATCAGCATCTTGATGTGGCACACCTGTGAGGTGGGATGGATTATCTCAGCAAAGCACAGGTGCTCACTGTCACACATTTAGACTGATTTGTGATCAATGTTTGAGAGAAATGGTAATATTGTGTATCTGGAATGAATTTTAGATCTTTAAGTCCATCTCATGAAAAATCGGAGCAGAAACAAAGGTGTTGCGTTTATATTTTTGTTGAGTGTAAATAATCATTTAAATGAACATTTGTTTATTGCTACTTATAATAATTATAAAATAATGAAATGTTTCATTAATCTGTGCTCAGTGAAATAAGTTTTAGCTTGTTTACTTGACCAGGTCATAACCATATTGCACTCACACAAGAACAAGTAAGGTAAAGTTAAGTCTATGACACATAAATAGCCTTTACCCCAGATCAGAGCCTCCGGTATCGAAGAAGGCGTTTCTGAGATTCTTGGTAATATCCCTCAAACTTGTCAACCTCTGGTTGGCTACACAACCATAACATGAGATCCTTAAAACTGCATGGTGGCGCAGTGGTTAGCACTGTTGCCTCGCCTCACGAAGGTTGCAGGTTCGAAACTCGGCTGCGGCCTTTCTGCGTGGAGTTGCGTGTTCTCCCCATGCATGCGTGGGTTTCCTCCGGGTACTCCGGTTTCCTCCACAGATCACAACACGCCCTATAGGTTATAAAATATAAGTCGCTTTGGATAAAAGCGTCTGCCAAATGAATAAACATAAACATAAAACTGGATCACTGGTAATATATTAAGCTTAAAAGCAACATATTTACCCCTTCTACACATGATCTGCACGTCCACGTGAAGTTGACTGCAGGTCAGTAACTCACCCACTCAACAGGTAGAATTAAGATGCTTTATTTCAGTATAGGTGATGTGGAGCAAAAGACAACCATTTTTCCACAAGTGAACCTTGTTAGGAAGGAAAATTTGTGTTTCAAACATCTTTAACAAGTTCGTAATTCCAGTGATGCGTCAGCAAAGAGCCTGAGACATGTGCGAGGAAACCATGAACCTTCGTGAACATCCATAGATGTTCTGGAAATTCCTGTTTGCAATTTGCCACCAACCACTGAGCTACTGGATTAAAGAAGAAGAGACAAAATGGGGAGATTTGCTAGAAATCAGTGCTCTTCAGTTCAGTTCAGTTCACTTTATTTCAAACACATACTTTCACCAACATTTCATAAAATCATTCCACGCAATTGTTTGAAAAGGAGTAGGGAGAAGTGTATACTTATTTAGCCCTACCCCCTCAGGTTTACATCCTCATCATCAAAATTTAAACAACAAAATAGTTACAATGCCTTCAAAAAAACCCACAAAAAAATAACAATAATAATAAATAAATAAAATTCTCATGTTCAACTGGAACTATATTTAGATTTTCTAATTTGTAGAAGAGATTAAACATCAGTTTTCATGCCGTCCTGGGTTAATTGCATTTTCTTCATTCTTATACTTATTTAACATTTCTTTTTTGAGTTTTATTTTAAACTGGTTTACATTACTACTGTCCTTTATTTCTTCTGTTAACTCATTCCAGAATTTAACGCCCGCTATTGAAATAGACATCCTTTTCAATGTTGTTCTTGCTCTTTGTACTTTTAAATTCCACTTCCCTCTAAATTTATTCCTCCCCTCTCTTTCTAAGAACCATTTACTTATTTCAATTGGGAGCATCCCTTTCCTTGCCTTATATATTATTTGCACTGTTTTAAACTTGACCAGGTCCTGGAATTTTAAAGCTTGCGTCTTAATAAAGAGTGTGTTTGTGTGAGCCCTCTTGAGCAAATTGTGAACAGCATTCTCAAAGGGGTTTCCAAAATGTCTCAAACTGTTCACGACGGTTCCTTGTTTCCTTGTTGTTGATCCTTCAGTGTTGCTGGAATTTTAAAACGTGTTTGAGGAAACCGTGAGGAAGAATTTAACTGAAAGTGTCCAAAAATGAGTTGCATGCATCTCAAACCCATCTTAGCCTAGCTTCAGAGAGTCAGGAAGATTGGGAGATGGGAGCTGCAGACTGATACCGGCGACTGAAGCACAACAAACCCGACATTTAATCAACAGTTTAGATCAAACTGAATCAAGAAAATTAGCACAAAAAAAAAATAAAAAATCACAATCATAAGACTTGTGTAAAAGCACCGACTCAAGTTGTTGTCATTCCTTTTCTCTAACTGGTCTCCAGTTGCTGCTACCAGTCAGGAACTGGTTCTGATGTTTACAAGGCACAGATTTATCAGAAGCAGGTGGAAGATGAGCTGCGTTGCTCTGCAGGGATCAAAGCTTACTTGAGCCAGGTTACACCCTTTGGCAACAAACAACTGAACTCAGTCCTGAGACATTTTCACACAGTCTCAGTCGGTGCTTACACGCAGCCGTATCAGCAGAAACCGGCAGCCACGTTCTCACACGCCGAGATTTACGTGCACGTCAGGTGTGGCAGCTCCCCGGGTAGTTTCTGTCAGGTCTCTTGAACAATCCCGTATCGTGATCACCATCTTTAATCTACCAGCGTACAAACTGCTGGATTACTTTATCAAATACCACACCGGTTCGCAGCAGCCAGCACTCCTAACACACTTTTATCTGCCTTTCCCTCGGTTGCACAACAGAAATCAGGTTTTATTACTGCAGCTTTAAACATCTAAAGCCATCCATGCGGGGAATGGGAGATGAATGCAAGCATCAGAACTCACGAGGGGAATTGTTTTACCGTCCCGCTCACTGTGATACATGAACCAGTGTGTCGCAACTACCCATAATCCCACTGGTGTTAGGGAAGGACCAGTTGATGCCGTTCGGCAGCTAAGTCAGCACTATCAGCAGCGGTGTCATCATCCCGCCTCTGTTCTCCCTGCGTGTAATAAATCCAGTGTGTGTGAGCACCTGGCATGCACAAATGATTAACTGGTGGCAAAGAGGACTGATTAAGGAGATAAAGCTTGGCACACAATAGGCTCAGCTCCACACGTGTACCTGCATAACAAGCGCTTCCTCACGCAAGGGAATTCCTCGTCTCTGCTTGGATTCTCTTCCCTTTGCTTTTGAATGCACGGTGCAGGAATCTACTGCCAGTCTGAGAAAAGCTAGATAAGAAGGAATCCTGCCCATAAATAAATCCCAGGAACAAATCACGTCGCTGTAATCTAGGATAATCTAGGATGTAAACTAGATCAGAGTTCCGACTCAGAGTGCAGATAAAAAAAGAGAAGATTTTGCTGAATCGAGGATCAGAGAAGATATCGTGTTTGACTGGACAAAGGGCAATGTGCTGAAGGACGTGACGGTTAACTTTTAATGGTTTTGTAACTTTAGATGTGCGGAGCACAAGAGACAGGTGAAATATAATGAGCTTTGTGTAAAATGATGACAACATTTGAACTCTTTATCTACTAGTCTTGCATTCTGTGTCTTTTGCTGCATTTTCTTGGAACAATGTTGAAGTTATACAAAAAATAAAGTACTGGATATCCCTTTCAGTATTGATGAGCTAACGGCTAGTCTCTCAACTCTGACCAAAGTGTTTTTCTGTCTCCTTGGATTGGCTTTAATCTAATAAATGTCATGTGAGGCGACAGTGGCGCAGGAGTTAAGTGCTCGCCCTGTAATAGGAAGGTTGCAAGTTCGAGCCCCGCTCAGTCTGTCCCTGTCGTTGTGTCCTTGGGCAAGACGCTTAACCCCCTTGCCTGCTGGTGGTGGTCGGAGGGACCAGTGGCGCCAGTGCTCGACAGCCTCGCCTCTGTCAGTGCGCCCCAGGGCAGCTGTGGCAACATTGTAGCTCATCCCCACCAGTGTGTGAATGGGTGAATGACTGATTGTGTTGTAAAGCGCCTTGAGTAGAGCCCTGCACTGAAGCCCTAGACCCGCGGGTCTAATGACCTCGGACACGGGCAGGGCCGGGGCGGGCGCCTTTATTTTTAATCGAATTCATTAAAAAAAAACTGAAACACTTGAACGCAGCAGCACCTGCCTGCTTCTCACGCACCGTTAGCTCAGTTAAGGTCTGTGTGGTTTATAAAGGCGCCTATATAAACGAATTCTCAAACTGCTGATTGAAACATGTGCCCCTGTTCTAATAAGCCATTTTATGTCCACTTTGATGTCAGAAACCATTCGTTTATTCTCATGAAAACAGCAGCATTCTGTTTTTCTGTGAATAAATTCGCTCTGCAGTAAAAAAAAAATACAGCATTCATTGCGGGTTTTTTTCTAACTGGAGAGCGCATTTTCAGAGCGGCAGATGAAATTTACAAACGCTATATTAATTGGGGGCGTTTATTTAATCTGCCGCTCTGAAAATGCGCTCTGCAGTTAGAAAATTAGAAGCTGCTTTTGTTTCCTAATTGCACAAGAGCGCGTTTTCAGAGCAAATTAAATTTACAAACGCATCCAAATAATATAGTGTTCGTAAATTTCACCTGCCGCTCGAAAAATACGCTCTGTTAGAAAAAAAGCTGCATTGATGCTGTTTTTCTTTCTTTTCTTTTCTTTTTTTACTGCAGAACGCTAATTAGATAATTAGAATGCTGAGCATTCTATCACGCTAAAACATTATGAAAGGTTAAAAAAAAGTCAGGCCAGAGAATCCTGAAAACCTTTTCAGACCAGGTCGGGCTGGGGCTCCACCCCCTCGGGCCGGGCCGGGCCGGACACGGGCTCAGATTTCAGGCCCGTGCAGGGCTCTAGCCTTGAGGGGTTCCAGGACTCTAGAAGGTGCTATATCAAATACAGGCCATTTACCATTTATAAATATCTAAGCTACACCAAATTCACACCATAGAGATATTTACATGGAATTGGGTCAGTAGATCTGCTCCTGGTGCATTCAGGGTTTAGTGGATTTTTCAGCAATGTAAACACATTATAGTAACACAGAGCAGTTTGCTGCTCTTCTGGTTGAAAGTGGAATTCCAACTGTTG